AATGAAAAGGGGGGGGGGGGGGGGGGGGGGGGGATGGAAAAACATTAAAGGTACAGTTCACCCCAAAAAATTTAATCATGTCATTATTTACCCAAACCTGAATGGCTTTCTTTTGTGGAACATAAAAAAGGTATTTTGAAGACTGTTGGTAGCTGTTATGGTTACCTATGACTTCCATTGCATGAATGAAAAAAAAAACAAACAGATGTTCCTCAAATTATCTTCTTTTCCATAGTTTATATTGGACCGTTGTAGCCTAAACGTTTAGGCCCTATATGTAATAAATTTTTATGTTGAATCAAATCAAATATTTATTTCTAAAGCTACTACTTGTAATGTCTACTTAATACTTTCTCATGTAACACAAAAATAGCATTACATAATCTTTTGGGGCTATTTTTATAGGCAAATGTAATTTGCGATTAATTAATCGACACATCATGTAATTAATTAGATTAAAATTGACTGACAGCCCTACTTGTAATGCATTACACCCAACAATGGTGATGTGAGTTAGCGTGAGGGATTGTGACCAATTTTAACCAATTAACTGGAAACATGTTAAGCGGTAAACATTAAAAATATGATCACAACAATTCAAAATTCTGTGATGGCAAAGCTGAACATTCAATTATTATCATTATTATAAGAATTTAATTCAGTATACATTCTATCACTATAAGCAGAGGATATCTTAATTGTAAATATTAAGAATTGTGAATTGTAAATTGATATTGTGTATACATTAGCTGATGTTAATAATAATCTTTGACAAATTTTTCTGGATAATATATATTTCTGCCACTACCACAAACTCAACAGAAATCACATTCAACAGGCTCGCTATAATGTAAAACCTTACATATAAATGTAATGAGAAATAATAAAGACAACATGGCTGCTTTTACCACATTTATTTATTCTGACTAGACTATTGCACAATCCTAAAGACAACAGGTAAAATAGAGTGTCAAAGGGGAGTATTGTTTTTATTTTTCTTATTTTACTTGATTTATTATGAGTTGTTTGAATCATCTGTTTCTTTACAGCAGTTGGGTAAATGATGAATCTGACCGTGCTGTTGTTTATTCTGGAGGCGTTACTACCCACAACACCCAATAAATGAGAGTGTGTGTTTGTGTGTGCGCTTGCAGTGCATTAAAAATGATGGGAAGCAGATCAATGAACAATTTAGATGCCACTCAAGCAGACCCAAGAGAAGAGAAGACAGAAACTATGAGCAACTGCAAAAAATAAATCACAAATTCAACAGGAACAGTAAATATTAAGCCGCAGGGACACACATGAATACCAATACAGACACACACTCACACACAAAACCATCAAAAAAAGAGTGTGTGATCATTTGGATTTACTGAAAATCAACTCTGTGTGTTTGTACGTTTGTGTATATGAGAAGAGAGAGATCTCTGTGTTTATTAGACATCCAGCACCTCCACCCCACCCACATTTTTGATTGTCTTTCCTTTGACGATACACAAATCAATCTCTCTCTCTGCGTTTCCTGTCACTATCTCTTCCAGCATTCATCTTCCACCGATAACAGAGTCTTGGCTTAATACAGTGAAAACAAACCTCCTCCCACTACCCTCCATTACAATCAACTTCCATTTCTCTTCTCTTCTCACTCACTTCAGCCTGTCTGTCTGAGCTTAAGGAGGAAGACAGCAAGAGGTAAATGAGAAAGGCCTTCTTCTGTAGAATCCACTGGCTGCAAACCAGCTTAATTGAAAGCTGCAGCTAAGGTGCATCAAGTTTAATAAACCATATGCCAAAGCTCATATAAATAGCACACACACTTACTGTTCTCAGAGAGCTCAATGATGTAACGCAGGAGAGGACTGTTTCCATCAAAGGGCCGAACCCATGACAGAAGAACTGTTCTGCTGTCTGTCTCATTCAGAGCCACCTGCAGGTTACGTGGAGAATGGGGAAGTTCTCTGAAAAAGAGAGAGAGAAAGCCAAATTATGAATCAAAATATGCTTATGTGCATTTTGCAGTGTGGTATATTCAAACACAATTCAAATTCAAATTTGAATTCAATTCAGGGAACAGTTTTCTATCACATCGAAATATAGACCTGATGAGTCAGAGAATTTAGACTTTGAACTTCAGTTTTTGCAGTAGCTCTATAGTATCGCTGTTGAAGTAATTAGCTGGTGAATTGCATTTACTTATTGTAGAATTAGCGAAAGTTATCATGAGCATTGTAATGTTCGAAGAGGATGTCATAAATGGCAGTACACTGGGAATTAAAAAAAAAAATTAGCCGTTCATTTATAAATTCGCATGACCTTACCTTCATGCTGTGGAAATATAAACAGAAGACAGAAGATAATGAGCACAGTACTGAAAAGGGGTGGAGCTACATAAGGTTTATATTTTAAGAAACCGTTTTCAAATTTCGACCTAAAAAATAGTTCACCCCAAAAATCCTCAGGCCATCCAAGTTGGAGTTTGTTTTTTCATAGCACCATATTTGGAGAAATTTATGGAAATAAATGGATCGATTCTCTGCAGTGAATGGGTGCTGTCCTGATCAGAGTTCAAAAAGCTGATAAAAACATTACAATAATCCACAAGACTCCGGTCCATCAATTATCATTTTGTGAAGTGAAAAGCTGTATGTTTGTAATAAACAAACCCATCAGTAAGAAGTATTTAACCTGTTTAAACTGTTGCTTCCAGCTAAAATACGAGTCCTCTATCCATCATAACGACACCCATTCACTGCAGAGTATCTTTTGGTGTGTAAGTGACATAATGCTAATTTCTCCAAAACTGTTTAGATGAAGAAACAAACTCATCTACATCTTGGATGGCACCTAAAATTGTCATCTTTAGATGAACTATTCCTTTAAATTGTATTCCTTCTCATGTAAAATATTGTAAGTATTATTGAATTGTCTTTTTCTTTTTTGTATTTTTGTCTTGTTGTTTTTTCCCCCTATTTGGCAAGTCAGTTTTGAGATATCATTCATGTCTGTTGCACAAACGGTGTAGGATGAGTCAAGTTTATTAGGGTTATGAGTTGAAATCTCTCACCTAAACTATGAGCAATACTAATAGAGACGCTCAACTCAAATAGCATAAATAGCCCTTAGGCTTATATGTTCAAATACATGTAAGTCACTTTGTAGATTTGTGTCTTTGTTGCAGCGTGCACTTTTAAATCGGTGCTTCTGGGGTTCTGTGGAGGACAAATGGTGGGTAGATTGAACACCAAAAAAAAAAAAAAAAAAAAAACTTCTGCAAGTAAAAAGTGTTCTTCATGTCTGCAAGGGGTTTGTGGTGTCTCAATAAGATCCTGAGCAGCTTAGGTACGAGAAAGATTCTTTCACAAAAAGAAGTTTTATATTTTTGAGTTACTAGGTAGAATTTTTAACCTTTGTGCTTAAGTTAAAAAAAGTTAATTTGTCACAAAAACAATTTAAAAAACCTGTTGGCTTAAAAATAATGTGATTTACTTGTGAATAATAAAGCATGAAATTAATAGTTCAAACAAAATCCACATTTTTGCCTTCATTTACTCCCCTTAATGTTGTTGACTTTATATCATGCGTGGAACACAAAGGAAGATATTTTGAAAAATGTCAGAGCCGCAGTCTCATGACAATAAAAAGTGCAAAACTGATTACTTTATTGTGCATTTATGGAGCTTTTTGGTCATTTTTGGAGCTTGAGATGCAGAAGCACATACTGTTAAAGTGCAGCATGAACATTTAACCTAGTACCTCCTTTTGTTTTTCCACAGACGAAAGTCATCTGGATTTTGAACAATATGAGGTTGAGTAAAATGACAGAAGTTTAATTTCTGTGTGAATCATCCCTTTAACTTTACTTTCTACTGTTGCAAGATAAAAAGTTCCACTGTTTCTTCAACAGCATTACATTTATGAAAACTACATTACAATATCACGTAATACAATTATGTCCTTTGCAGATGCTTGTAATATGTGTGTGAGAATTTATGCCCATCTGTCACAACAGCCTAAATATGCAATAACAGCTAATATTGTTTTAAGCAAGGAACTGCTCTGCCGTTGTCTAACATGTGGTAATAAGAGGACCTGTCCACTGCATGAGATTAACTTGAAAGTCTGTGAAATCACATTAGCATGTGAAGCATTGCCTCTCCTTCAACCGTCTGATGAGTTTTCTTTCGAAAGAGTTTGCAGGCAGTAATATTAAAGGTAGGAGTATATTGTGGTGCTCTGTTATCTTAATGTGACTGTCAAAGGTATTATTGTTATTATTCAAATCGCATGTGTTTTCAATTTGTATCTCATAATTTAAATACCAGCTGTTAGGAGTCTTTTTCTAAAGCCAGCCGAAACCCGGTTTTTCTCACAGAATAACGTGTCTTAAATTAAATATTGCTTTATTATGCATTCTGTTAAGTAGTACTAAAAGAACTGTGCGACAATGCAGTCCTGTAAGCTCATTTGCGAATCATACAGTTTATTACAGTTAGGTTTTGTATGATTTATTATTTGTAATATTTGTAAATTCTTCTCACAGTTGAGCTGTGACGCGATTCCATAAGCTACACTCACAATTTTTTAGGCAAATTGTATTTATTTTTTTATAAGAATAATATTCAAGCTTGTACTGTAGGTTGATTTCCACCAAAAACTAGCAACACAGCAGCATTTGGCTCAACCAATGACATGAGTTTGGGGCGGGGCTATCTGTTTGGCTGACCAATGGTGGATGGGGGAGTGTTTGGGAAACCCGATCCTTCAGAAATAATTTCTTGTTATTATTAATATTGAAAATAATAGTTGTGTCGCTTAATATTTTGGGGGAAACAGTGATCCATTTTTTTCAGGTTTCGCTGATGAACAGAGTTCGAAAGAACAGCATTTATTTGAAAGAGAAATCTTTTGTAACATTATAAATGTCTTTACTGTGACTTCTAATCAATTTAATTCACTCTTCCTGAATAAAAGCGTAGTGTACATGTAACGCACATGTAATCATTACTTGGTTAAGAAAGACTTTTGACACAAAGGGCACATTTTTAGGCCTTTAGGTCGATCTGGTATGTTTACATCTTTCTGATTGTGAATAATATTTTCAAACGCATACAAATAAACAAGCACCACACTCCACCTGTCATTCGTGTTTCTCTGTGTATTTCATCTAACTTCAAAGATCAATGATATTTCCTCTACATCCATCCATACGACAATCTGTGGGAGAACAACATTCAGCCATCTAGAAGCAGTAATTAATATCTAAGCACGTGCATGTGTGTGTGTGTGTGTGTGTGTGTGTGTTTAATTAGTTCCTGATGCCACAGAAGTGTAGCAACATTGGCTAGTCGTCAAAGGAGCTGATCTTGGCCTTGGGCATCAGGCCTATCTTATTCCACTCTCGCTTTATCTTCCTCCCGCCACACACACACACACGCGCATGCACAATCACAGCTGCTCCATCCTCTGTCCTATCATTACAGCCCATTTTTGGATGGTTGTCTTGGCTTCAGAACTGCAGCTGAGATCCAAGCATTTTCCTCCTACAATAGCACTCCAATAGCGTGAACTGTACAAGTGTATTCGCTTCTGAGTGCATCGTATCGAGCGTGCATGTTGGTGAGGATCTCTGTGTGTCTATTTCCGCTTACATGACTTCCAGTCGGGCGGTTTTCGAGTCGTTTCCAGCAGGTGAGATGACCCTGCAGGTGTAGTCTCCGATGTCTCCGGACCACGTCTGGCTGATGTGGAGCGAACCTTCCTTCACTGACACTCGCCCACCAGTCGACACGCTCAGCGGCTTGGTTCCTTTCTTCCATGCATATCTGAGGAGAATAAGACTCTTTATGATGACTCATAATCCACCAAAAATATCACACTCCAAAGACCTGCAGAAAATGCGCTTAGCCTCCTGAGACAGAACAACATCAAATGTCATATGACGGCTTCTTTCCCTTATACGCTTCATAATGACCTAAACAAGGAGGATAGAGACAGGGTAAGCTGTCTCTAATGTAAACTATCCCTAATAAAAATATGTTTGTGTTTTGTGGTTGCCAGAATGGTTAAATGGTTCAACTATCATAGCTAGTTAGCAGTAAATATTGTGTTTTATCAGATAAACTGGCACTAAACACCATAAACTTGACATTCATGCAGGTCTTTTCAGCAGGGACAAGCTTAAAAATAAACCGTTTTGGCAGCAGCAACAGTACATGACTAACTACACTTAGAAAAAAAATCTATATATTTGTCATTTTCCATTAAAAATATCAATCTACACTACTGTTCAAATGTTTAGGGTTGGTAAGATTTTTTATTTCAGATGTTTTGTAATGATGTTGCTTATATTCACTAGGGTTGCATTTATTTGATTAAAAATAAAGTAAAATCAGTAATATTGTGAAATATTATTACAATTTAAATTTCTATTTTAATATATTTTTAAAAGTGATTTATTCCTGTGATGCAAAGCTGAATTTTCAGCAGCCATTATTCCAGTCTTCAGTGTCACATGATCCTTATATGATCCAATATGTTGATTTGATGAATAAAAAGACCAGAATTTATTTGTAATATAATTTTTTTTAACAATCTGAAAGTCTTGACTGTAACTTTTGATCAATTTATTCAGCAATATATTGAGTAATATTTTTAACATGAATATTGCAAAAACAACTTTTGAATAATCAGTGCTCCCATTCCACGTTCCTAGGTAATTGGCACACAATAAAAATAAGTTATGCACAAATTATTCAGTCACATGACTTGTTTTTGATGTGCATCTACTGTGGGAATTTATTCAGCATTTACATCATAGCTCATCCGCCGCAAGTCTACCTTCAAATAGCTTAGAAAAGAACTCAAGTGGCACGATTTAAGGAATCATTCATGTCTGTAGCACAAGTTGTGCGGGGTGAGCAGGATTTGAGTAATAGCAACAGCAATGCTTGACTTACTGTAGCATCGCTAATTAGCAAAAATCAATGCAGACCTTGCAGAGACAATATTATTAAGTTTGAGAAATTTAAATGTCAAAATGCATCTGAGCTCAAGCTCTGACCTGACGGTGACTCTGGGGTCGTGGATTGCGCCGCAGTTCAACACAGCGGTAGTTCCCTTGATGACACGCTGATCCTCAGGGGGTGTTGAAATGAAGGTTCGACCTGATTAATAAAATGCAGTTTAGGACAAATTCACGCCACAGTTTAATCATTACCAACATCATTATTCACAGTTCTTTTAACCCTATTAGGTAATTCCCACTGACAGCTTCATTAGCAAAACAGAATGAAATTTACAAAGCATGAACGTTCGAATATTCACACTGCGTTTCAATGAACATATAGTACGGCTAAGCAAATTAACTAATTCTCTCTCACACACAACCCACTGGGTCCAATTGACTTGATTAAAGCTAATGCATGTAATATTTTCAACATTTAAACGCTTTCTCCCAGTTAATGCACAGAGTGTCTTATTTTAGTATCATTGAGATACTATTCTAGATTTTATTAAAATTTTGAATCAGTTTTTATTTTATATTTTCCATTTTAATTCTAGCTAGCATTTTAGTCATTTTTTATGTTTATATAGTTTTATTCATTTTATTTCAGTTTTAGCTGTTTTATTACATCAACGTGCCTTGGCAACCTTTTTTCAATTCAGTTAATGTTTATTTCAAGTAACAAAAAAGGTTTATTTATTATTTTTTTTATAGATTTCATTTTATAGTCCGTAACTTTTGCCTCTTTTTCACCATCTCTGTTTGAAAACCTGGAATTGCAGTTACTTGCGGAATTATCTTCCTTGCGTGGGTTGTTCGGCGGCACGGCTCCAGCGCGGATGAATCTAATGCTTTGAGGAGTATGTGTGGCAGTCAGTCACCGCACCGGAGTGAATCCTATACTTAGTAATCACAGATTCTAGCCTACGTCTTGGAATATATGACCTAAATAAGAATTTTCACCGGACATTGTCATCTGAACAAGTAACAAGTCTGCCACGTTTGTTCTGACCAACTTTAATCTAACAATCGATTAGCTCATATCACATCAAACCGTGAAAATTATTATTATTGTTATACATTATTCTCAGATTATTAATGTTAACAACATCAGCATTGCGTGACTATGAGTATAGTGTGTATAAGTGAGTAGATTTCAATTTCTGTACAGTCTAATCTGTCGCCTCTGGCTTGCTTAGTTGGGCACACTTCATTTCCAATGAACTGAGCTGGATGATGACATCACTGTATTGTTAATGTTAACAACATCAGCATTGCGTGACTGAGTACAGTGTGTATAAGTGAGTAGATTTCAATTTCTGTACAGTCTAATCTGTCGCCTCTGGCTTGCTTAGTTGGGCACACTTCATTTCCAATGAACTGAGCTGGATGATGACATCACTGAATTGAATGATGAATTGTCTTTAACTGAAAAATTAGTGTTTACTATTGTCATTTTGCATTATTGACACACTATTTTCCTAATTAATGCTGTTCAGTTGCTTTGACACAATCTGTATTGTTAAAAGCGCTATATAAATAAAGGTGACTTGACTTGACTTAATTGTCATACCATTCGAATTTCATACCAAGAAATTATTTTAACCCAAAAAGCAAACTATATGCTCCCTTCGAACTGGTTGTCTTTAAAAATAAAAATCTTGTGTAATCCCAGGCTATCTGTAATCAGAAGCACATTTAAAACTGGAATATAATTTAATTTCATTCACGTGTTTCATATAATCCTTTCTGGATTACAATCCGGCATCAAAATTATTTTTTGACATTTAATTATTTCAGCTGCTGTGAGAAAAGGCTATAAACGATCGGCCACCTGCAGCATCCTCACATGCGATAGCCTAGTAGCCGGGACAACTTCTTTATGTTTACAGAAGTGACGTAATGACACAGCAGCGTGCTCGAATTTCCTGTGAAAACCTACCCGTACCACTCAAATTATAAAACATTATTATAAACTGACCGTTGTGAATCGGGCTAAAGTAAGCCGATAGTTTTGAACACTGGCTGGTTATGTACTTGCTCAAATATTGACTTCGGATCATTTTTAACCAAAAAAAGTTATGGACTGCAGCTTTAAAGTTAACTATAATAGTCCTAACAGTTGCTCTGCGGCCCGACATGTCAATTCCCAGCTCAACCAATGCACGACTTTGGGCTAGGACTATGTTTTTGTCTGAAAAGTGGTAGATGGGAGTAGTTTTTCGAAATTCCATTTGGGGCCGCCAACAGTGCCTAAATTACACACTGCAGTTTTAATCTGACAGACTTCTTGCTTTTCCTTTTAAGTGGCCAATCCACAAACAGCATTATTTAGGCTGGATGTCAAAAATGCTCTTAGACACTTCCACGCACCCACGCTTGAGCGTAAACCTACATCAGCATCATTAAGCATGCAGTGCAAGATAAACCGAGTCCTTGGGATTTAAGGATGACACTATTCCGGTGTGAAATTACTGCAAAAGACTTAACATTTCAAAAATACTGTGCTCTGCTATGCCTTTACAATCAGCCTAGCTAATGAATGCTGCTATTAAGCTGAACAATGACTGCTGATAAAAGGCATGTTTGGAAATTGTCTGCAATCCTGCCTCCGCTGAATTTCAAATACACTGCATTTGTTTGTACTTTCAAGTCATTAAAAACAACATATTTTTTCACAATTTTACACTTTCGTACTCAAGACTGTCAGGGCCACTGTTGTGTTGACCAGTCCGTCAGAGTTAGATGCCAAGCACGTATAGTTTCCTGCGTCGCTCGGCATTATGGGGAGTATCCGTAAGCCTCCGGACTCCAGCAGAGTGAAACGAGGCATCTGCACCGATCCGCTCGCTAACACCTGAGAACCTGCAAGATTCACAGGGTTTAGTCACTGCTTACAAGTTTAACGTGTAACCGTGTAAATGACATGCAAAGGAGCGTGAATATAATCCAACGTACCTTTCCTCCAAACAATGGCAGGTTTGGGGGCACCGGATGTCTCACAGGTGAAGACAGCTGACGTTCCATCAGTCACAGTGATGTCAGAAGGGGGCGTGGTGAAAGATGGCGACACGCCTACCATAAAAATAAGTGAGTCAGATAACTGAAAATCGAAGAAATATAGAGGTCATAAGGGTGAATATGCATACTCTTTTTCTGGAAATTGTCTGGCCAGGATTTCTAAATTGCCTAGAATGGGAGGATGAATCGGGACTGAAAAGTAGTTCAGTCGCATGTAGGCATTGTACATAATAAACCAATTGTGGTGTGCAAGAAGGTGGGGTCTACAGAATGCTCAAAGAAATGCAATTACAAGTCCAAGATTACTAAGATCCCTATAAAGAGCATGTCATTAGGAATAAATAGTGTATGCACTCTAAAAAATGCTGGGTTATATATAACCCAGTGCTGGGTTAAAAAGGGACAAACCCAGCTATTGGGTTGTTTTGACCCAGCTATTGGGTTGTTTTGACCCAGCGGTTGGGTTATTTTGACCCAGCTATTGGGTTGTTTTGACCCAGCGGTTGGGTTCAAAACAACCCAATAGCTGGGTTTGTCCCTTTTTAACCCAGCGCTGGGTTATATTTAACCCAGCATTTTTTAGAGTGTGGTCACCCTAGCCAATAAGAATTTGGACACTTTAAAAATTAAGAATGTCATTGCATTAGATAAAATACCAACTTTTCAAGCAAAACTTTAATTAAAACAACTGATATACTGTTCAAACTTGTCCTTAAGTGTGGCGAATATACTTTTTAAAACAAATATTCCATAACAATATGATCCCCAAAAAGCTGTATGCATAAATATGATTAAATTTATAAATAATTTATTTAATGTAACCTACTCTAACACATAGTAGATTATAACGGCGGAATACAATTTATTAACACGTTATTTTTGTGACAATATTTAAAATCTCAAGGGAACTCTTAAAAATAATTTTTGAACTTAAAACTTAAAAATCATTTTGAAATGGAATGACTTCCATTTGTGTTTACTTCAGGAGTTAATGAAAACCAAAAAAAGGGTACACTAGAAGTTTGATGTTAGTAAGATTTTATAATAATAATAATAGTAATAATACTTTTTTAAATAATTAAAAATATATACTTTTATAAATAAATGTTGCATTAAATAAATCAAATGTGACAGTAAAGATTTTTAGAAATGTATTCTATTTCAAAAAATTGTTCTTTTTAACTTTCCACTGATAAAAGAATCCATGAAACCCATGACCTTAGCATTGCTAGAGGAAGGTTTTGTAATAATAAAATAATTAGTAAATTGTAAAATGAATCAACTGTAATAATATTTCACAATATTTTACTGTATTACTCAAATAAATGCAGCCTTGGTGAGCATGAAAGACTTCTTTCAAAAACATTACAAAAAATCTCAGGCTGCGTTCACACTTGGCATTAACATGCGATCACCATGATCCAATGAAGCATATCAGGACCCGGCGCGTTCACACGTGGAAACATCAACTTCTCAATCTGGATAACCGATCGGATCTGTCTTTCCTGCACAATATTTAAAGAAGTCTGCAGAGGATGGCCCTGGTGCAAAGTCAACCTGAAGTGGTGGGTTTTCTTTTGCCAGCTGTGGTGGGAAAAATGTGCGTTCTTTACAGAGAATGAGTGGTTCTGCAACTTTTAGGTACTTTCCTCCATCTTTCTTCTGACCGTTCGGGAGAGAGGGGCGGGGTTTTGCCTGATGCCGACCTGCGAATGCAGACACGATGGCTGGATTGCATTTACATTACACTGAGATCCGATCACAATGCCTCCTCGACTACCTCTTGACCTTTCCGATCAGAAGCACGTTTACACTTGTCGTTTCAATGTGTATGTGGACAACATCTGGATACAGGTTGCATGTCAATGCCAAGTGTTTCAGACCCCAAACTTTTGAATGGTAATGTAGCTCTAGCATTACTTGTTTGCAAATGCTATTTGGTTTGATATTTTGATATCGAATGCAATGAAATAAATACATTTTATATGAGACTTGAGTGCTCAATTATTTGGGGTCACTGCATATATGTACATGCAGTGTTTAGAGTAAACAAACTGCAGCTTTAAATATCATGCCACTATTATAAAATTCAGTTATTCAAGTTATCCACTTGCTAATTAATTTCATAAACATGATGAATTTGCCTAACTTTAAAACTCTCAAACTTAAATAAAAAATGGTGTGAAGTGAAATGAAACTTGAGAGAAAAAAAGAGATGAGGATAACTAAGCGAGAGAGAGCTGGAGGTGTTGATTAAGTGCTGAGTGTGTGTGTGTGTGTGTGTGTGTGTGTGTGTGTGTGTGTGTGTGTGTTAAAGGTTGAGCTCTCAGTAGACACTGATTAATTACACAGATCAATGAGGGGTCTCTGAACTCCCTGATCAATTCACAACCGAGAGGGAAAGAGAGCAAGATCACTGACTTTTAAAACATCCATGGCTGTATTTATGCATCATCCTCCCATTAGCTTGAAGCAATAGTTCACCCAGAAATGAAAATTCTGTCATCATTTACTCACCCTCATGTTGTTCCAAAGCCATATTACTTTTCTTTTCCAGTGGAATGGAATTTTTTATTAGGAAGAATTCTGTGTCCATATAATGAAAATATATGGTAACTAGCACCGAAATAAATTCAAAATGTCTTTGTGCTACTCAAGGCCTCTCAGTCATTCAGGTTTGGAACAAAATTAGGGTGAGTAAATGATGGCAGTACTGCATTTTTTGGTGAAATGTTCCTATAGCTGTTCATCTTACTTGTGACGACCAAGTTGGTATATGCCTGTATTTCTCCGGCCGTGTTTTCAGCGAAGCACTGGAAAATTCCAGCATCGTCCGGTTGAATTCTCCGCACTTGCAGAACCATTGAGGAGGAGGTGAGTTTGTATCGAGGGTTGTTCAGTGTGGAGAGGTGGACGGCATCTTTGAACCATTCCAGCTTCGTTGTGGGAACCCCTGAATAATACATGAAGCATGACAATGTGTTTAAATAAAAATCACTATTATATATATATACAGTGGTGTGAAAAAGTGTTGGCCCCCTTCCTGATTTCTTATTTTCAATCAGGAAGGGGGCCAACACTTTTTCACACCACTGTAAGTGTTTGTGTATATATAAGTAAGATTTTTTTTATGCTGCATTTATTTGATCAAAAATACAGAAAAAACATTACAATTGAGAAATATTATTCTAAATTGAAATATAGTTTTTTTATTAATTGTTTTTATTGTAATATCCTTTGAAATATAATTTATTTCTGCGATGCAAAGCAGAATTTTCAGCATTATTACTCCAGTCTTTAGTGTCACATGGTCCTTCAGGAATCATTCTAATCTGCTTATCAATGTTGGAAACAGTTGCTTAATATTAAATAATAATAATAATAAATTGACCCTCTGACCCTCTAACTCTAGCATTCTCTATTCTTTTTCTATTCTATCTACTTGTTTTCTTTTTATTTACTATAAAAATGACCCTCAAACACTAGCAGTCTCTATTCTTTTTCTATTATGTATGCATTAAAATAAAAAAAATAAAAATGTATCATGCTTTCCACAAACATTTTAAGCAGCAAATTCTGATTTCAACACAACCATTTTTAAAGGGGTCATATGATGCGATTTCAATTTTTCATTTCTCTTTGGAGTGTTACAAGCTCTTGGTGCATAAAGAAGATCTGTAAAGTTGCAAAGACTTAAGTCTCAAATCCAAAGAGATATTCTTTATAAAAGTTAAGACTCAACCACGCCTACCTAAAACGGCTCATTCTAACACGCCCCCATATGGCTACGTCACTGTGTGGGAAGATTTGCATAACACCAAGTGTTTTTATATTTAAAGAATTTGCCACTGACGATTCAAACGTGAGTTTTTTGGGCAGTGTAGAGTAGCACTTGTTTTTTGTAATTTCTCCGATCACAAATGCAGACATGGTTTTATGTTTACGCGGCGCATGCAACGCAAAGCGTAAAAAGACAGTATAAGTCATTATAATAATGTCCCCACTGGATGAAACAAATGCCTCGTTTATAATGGGTTTTAATGTTTTTGTCTCATCGCTCCGGCCAGACAGGGCATCACAATATGGTAAGGGGCGTAACATTTCCGTCACACGCTTGAGGTATTCAGCCAATCACAACGCACTGGATAGCTGGCCAATCAGAGCACACCTCACTTTTCAGACCGATGAGCTTTGTAAAAATCGACGCGTTTCAGAAAGGCGGGGCATAGAGGAGAAACAATAATGTACAGTATGTGGAAAATAATGTTTCTAAAATAGTGTTTTTTGAACCTTAAACCGCATAAACACATTTCATTACACCAAATACACAAAATAATGTTCTTTTTAGCAGCATCATATGACCCCTTTAATAATTGTGCACCAATGATAATTTATAATAATTAACCACCAAATCAGCATTTTACAATATCTGAAGTATTATGTGAACATAAAGACTGGAGTAATAGCTACATTTTGTTATCATAGGAATAAATTAAAATTTTAAATATATTAAACTTTAACCAGAGTGTTTGCACCCCAAATTTTTAAGGGCTAGATTTACACAAATGCCACATGACATTTGATAGAAGAGAGAATTATTATCAAAGCACATACACACACTGCTTGATTTATCACAAGTTAATGTTTTTATCAATAGACCTTCATCAGGGCACACTGTGGTTTAATTAATGAAAATGTAATCTAATAAATTGGCTTTGATTGATTAAACTTCCAATAAAATTTTGACATGCTTCACAGACAAAAAAGCAGAAGATTTGGAGAGGATAAGAGAGGGAGATCAAGAGAGAGGGAGCGAGGGAGCGAGAAATCAAGAAGCAAGCACGAAAACGAATAAAACGGCAATTATACGTATTAGCAATAATTGTAAATTAAGTTCATCAGTAAGAACGCATGATGTGCTCATCACAATATGCAAATTAAAGAATATATCATGGATAAATCCTGCAGCTCAACACTTTAAAAGGTCAAATAGCGTGAATCCACTCCACACGCCTCCCATCGTTGATAGTCGTGTCACACCCACGGGGATGCAAGACAAGGATGTTAAAATAAGACTGTCAAAAACAAGCTCGCTGTAATTAAATTTCTGACAGTTTATGACAAAGTGCGCACAAACTCAGCTTCACACCCTTACGAAAGTGCAAAAAGAACGAGACGAGATTCACAGCAAGTGTAAATTGCAGAGGTACAATCTCTGCCACAAAATAAGGAAAAGTCTCAGTAGTTTTCAAAAGTTTCATGAAAGTGAAACTGTCCAGATTTCTGTTAAATAAAGGAGAAAAATATTACGATAGAAAGAAGGGGAGAAGAAAGAACCGTTTGAGGTCTCTCTTTACGAATTTTCCTTGTTAGAAGTCATGAAAAGTTTAACTTTTAGACACTTGGCACTTTGTTGCTGAAATGTAGGTCAGATTTACACAGCTTGTTAAAAGGATTTTCTAGTTGGATTCTATTCCTCCGTTGCCCTATGAGCCAATGATATTTTATTTTCACCTTTATTTTCAGATTTCATGACAGGAAGAGCAAGACTCTTGATACGTTTTCACACACCTGGCATTCGTTTTTTTTCTCGCTCTCACCTTGTCTAACTCACTTCAAATGAAAAAAAGGCAAAGGACCTGTTAAGCGCGTTGCTGATAACAGCTTTTCACTTACTGAAGAATATCGAGAAAAAAGGAGGGGGTTAAACAAATAACAACAACGGCAACAAAAAACGAATGCCATAACAATGCCACAGTTTTTCTAATTCGTCCTCATTCTTTCTTCTCTCTTTGCTCTCCACCTTTTGGCTCTTTCCTGACAAATCAGCACTTATTCAGTCTCATTGTACGTTTATGCAGATCAGGATATACATATTCAGATTGGCACCTGGATCGGATTCAACGGCAGAAACAATAAATACCTCCTCCATCTCAACCTCTTTTCCACTGCTGGCTGCTCTGACATGTTCACTTTATCTTTCTATAAAAGTCTCTCTGAGCCTCCAACAGCCCCAATTTATTCATCACTCCATTGGCTGCCTCATGCATATGCATGCCCCCTTTCGCCCAATCATGTAAGGCGCACACCTGTCAGATAAGCTCATTGAAAGAATATTCGTAGCTGTTTCTAATAAGAGTGCGAGTTGAGGTATAAATATTCATAGCACATCTTTTAGTGAAAAAGATCTCAGGGCAGAGAATAATATTTGTGTTTTTGGATCAAAGAGTAGGGATGTTAAGGAGGCTGAGGATGTTTAAGCCCACTGACCTTCTGGAAACATTGGAAAGTTTTGATGCTCAGATAAAACGCCAACGATTTGCCAAAAAAAAAAGACTGAGAGCCAACTTGCTACTCTGTGAATAAATAGAAAATAGAGAACTATAGAAACTGAAACTGTTAGAATTCAATTTGACAAATTTCTAAATTTGTCCGCCCCCTTACTGAGAGATACAAAGAAAAAATGTAACTAAATAGGCAAAAAGACAACTTTAGAGTGTCTACAACAGGGCTGATGTGTCACTAAAGGCTGCATTTAAACTTTTTTGTTTTTTTTATGTATTTCTGATTTCCTACTGACTCTTTCCAAATATTTCTTAATCAAACCTAGCCATCACATGCTCCATCCGAGTTTTATCTATGATTTAGCCACTTAAAACCTTCAGTAGATCAGTTATAACTATTGGGGAATGTCACTAAATCAGGAGCAGAGAGGTCACTTTGATGAAGAGACTATAATATGGCCAGCAGCATACATATGTCTTTAATTGTAGCTTGACTAATATTTAAAAGTTAAGTTGTCTGTGAATAAATAGAAAATAGAGAACTATAGAAACTGAAACTGTTAGAATTCAATTTGACAAATTTCTAAATTTGTCCGCCCCCTTACTGAGAGATACAAAGAAAAAATGTAACTAAATAGGCAAAAAGACAACTTTAGAGTGTCTACAACAGGGCTGATGTGTCACTAAAGGCTGCATTTAAACTTCTTCTGTGACAAAGTCTTATGTAGGTGTCTGTTGATGAAAATGTCACAGAGGCAGTTCCAACTGTGATTTTTTATTTATTTCTGATTTCATACTGACTCTTTCCAAATATTTCTTAATCAAACCTAACCATCACATGCTCCATCAGAGTTTTATCTATGATTTAGCTACTTAAAACCTTCAGTAGATCAGTTAGAACTATTGGGGAATGTCACTAAATCAGGAGCAGAGAGGTCACTTTGATGAAGAGACTATAATATGGCCAGCAGCATACATATGTCTTTAATTGTAGCTTGACTAATATTTAAAAGTTAAGTTGCGTAGGTTGAGTGTGTGTATAGCTAACTAATTGAAAAATGAATAGAAAGAAATGCAATGTTAAATGATAAGAGACAATCAACTTGTTAGTAAAGGCATCATCTGATCTTTACAACAGCCTTTAAAGCCTAACTTAAATATATAAATAATATAAAGTTAAAGTAAATAAAATTACTCTAACTCTAGATAATGGCAAAGTATAGCAATAATGATACAGAGGAACAATAGGCCTATGACTGAAACTTTCAGAGTGATTTTTTCCAGTTGATGAGCAATAAAAACATTGGGTCTCATTCACTAACCAGGCATACATACAAGTTTGTGTGTGAAAGCTGCATGTGAACATTTTTACAAACAAATGATGATTCATTCAATAACTTTCATACTAAAATGTGTTCAAAATCTATGATTCATTTTCAGAATTATAACCAATGATAGCTATAACCATACAGTTTTAAAAAACTCTACGAGAATAACAAAGTTAATAAAAGAACTATAATGATAACAACACAGTACTGTGTATGAGCATTCTCACAAAAAAACTAAAATCATGATTCTTACAACATGCACACTGTTTAAGGATCTTGCTGTGCGTGCTGTCAGGCAAGTTTTTTTCGAGAGCATTGAAAGGCTGTAAAAATATAAGTTGTGCAAAAACCTCCTATATGGAGATAGTTTGGGCATTTTATGCAAAAAAACATGCTGTGTGTGTGGGTTTAGCTTTAGGATTTCCCATTTTAAGGCCTGTAGAATAATTTCAAATGATCAAACAAAAACTTGGGTATGCATGCTTATGTTATGTACAAAACGCAAAATAATTGGAGAAAAATAAGGAGATCCAATAAAGATAAACAAGAGTAGTTGCTATTTTTTGGAATGAAATGCATGCATACTGCAAACTGGGTATACACTGAATACTACATATTACCAAAAAAAAAGAAAGAATCATGTGAAAAACATTTCTTATGATGTATGCTTCACTGCACTCATAATATTAGTACATTAATTTCATTAAAAAAATTTAATTCTCTTAACTCTTGGTTGTCATTAAAATAAAATAAAATAAAATAACTTCAGAATAATTGAAACAGAATCGTCATTAAGGAAATGAAAGTACGGTAAGTACATGGATTTTGTGACAATTACTTGGTTTATATTAATTAAAGGGGTCATATGATGTGATTTCAAGTTTTCCTTTCTCTTTGGAGTGTTACAAACTGTTCGTGAATAGATAAGATCCCTAAAGTTGCAAAGACTAAAGTCTCAAACCAAAAGAGATATTCTTTTTAAAAGTTAAGCCTGGTCCATGACCTCCTAAAACGGCTCGTTTAAACACGCCCCCACGTGTCTACGTCACGATGTGGGAAGATTTGCACAACGCCGCCCAAATGTTCACGCAAAGAAAGAAGGCGTAACTTTATTGTTGCTGCCACCGCCGCCGCCATGTTGTGAAAATGCTGTGTGTTTCGTTGCGAAAGCGAAACTACTTTGTTTGGCCTTCCAAAAGAGGACATGACTAGAAATCAGTGGTTAAGTTGTATTTACAACACTGTTCCAGAACAGTTTAACCCAAATATTCAGATGTTTGCAGCATATTTTATGGAGAACTGTTTCCTGATCCTGGGAGAGTAGACTACAATGCCGGCTGTTCTGACTCACAGACTGTAAATACGTTTTCATATTTAAAGAATTTGCCACTGATGATTCAAACGCGAGTTTTGAGCAGTGTAGAGTAGGGCTTGTTGTTCGTCATTTCTCCGATCACAAATGCAGACATGGTTTTATGTTTATGCGGCGCGATGCTACGCAACGCTCGAAAAGACAGTATAAGTCATTATAATCGGTAATTATGTCCCCACTGGATGCAACAAATGCCTCGTTTATAATGGGTTTTAATGTTTTTGTCTCATCGCTCCGGGACACAGCATCACAGTAACATTTCGTCACACGCTTGAGGTATTCGGCCAATCACAATGCACTGGATAGCTGGCCAATCAGAGCACACCTCGCTTTTCAGACCGATGAGCTTTGTAAAAATCGACGCGTTTCAATAATGTACAATAATGTACAGTATGTGGAGAATAATGTGTTTTTTTAACCTTAAACCTCATAAACACATTTCATTACACCAAATACACAAAATAATGTTCTTTTTAGCAACATCATATGACCCCTTTAAAAGGCTGCAGCTAACGATTATTTTGCTAATTAATTAATCTGTATATTATTTATTTGATTAATTGATTAAATTGATTAAAACATTAAATGTTAAAAAAATAAAAATAAAAATGTAATCCGTTATTTACAAAAATGTTACTCCACATCCTGCCCAATGATGTCCTCCAACCAATGTGCAATTTGAAGTTTATGAAAACATATATAATGAATTAATTTACTCATCTGAACATAGTTATTATATTACATTTATACTCCATTACTAAAAAACAGTTACAGTTACTCCTCTCATAAAAATTCAATTACTTTTGTCACATGTAGAATCCAAAACCCACATTTAATGTCCGACTAGGAGTATTTTAGTAAAAATGTATATTTTTGTGTATATTCTGTGCTCAGTTTATTTGTCTTTTAGCGAGCTGCAGTATTTGTGCTGGCTTACACTGTTTCTTCTCAAACTAAGACCTATTATTGCTTCTGTTCTCGTCAGTGTTCTCCATCTAACCCTGTTCAGAATGCTTCCCGCAGCCTATAAATCTGAACATAGCCCATGTCTCATCTTCTGGGCAATCAGAGAGGGAAATGACAAGAGGACGAATGTTCACTTCATAATTCAAAATCTCAAAGCAGATGATCATCTGATGTCATCAGAGAAAAGAGACAGGAGAAGAGGGCAATTGAATGAGAGAGAAAGCGAGAAGAAGAGTGAAGATTACAAGCTTTAAGAGTTTATTAGAGTGTCTTACCAAGGGAACCACGATTCCTCTTGTTTACTGCTCATCAGGTCACAGAAAGCAGAGAAAAAAAAGAAAAACAATTCAGAAAAAAATCATTCCTTTCACCAAAATACCTCATATATCTTCAAACTTTAAGCCCCCAAAAACATTAGCTCCACTGTTCTTGGTCCCTCTTGTCACACCTGCCATGATTTTATCATCCTGCGACATGTAATTATGGGAATTTGCTGCCCCTTGACCTGCCCTTAATGGAAACACCACACTTATTGGCTTCCTATTTTCACTTAAACCTAGAAAATGAGGTGCAGACTGTACAAATGACAGTAAACACAACAGAGAGATAAACAAAGAGATGCATTTTGATCAGTATCACACAGAGAATGAGTTTCAGGATTTTTCAAATGCAAATATTATCATTTAGTTTAAAGTATGTATCTCAGCTACCTACAAATAAATAAATAAATAATAGTGCTGTCAAATGTTTAATCACAATTAATTGTTTGACAGCACTAATATATACTAATATATATATATATATATATATATATATTAGTGCTGTCAAACGATTAATCGCATCCAAAATAAAAGCTTTTGTTTACAT